AGGGTGTATCGGTATGTATAGGACCCATAGTTGCGATTTATGGTTGTTCTATAGGGATTTCCACCCTTGATTTATTTGCTATTGGTTTCAATGGGGAAAATACACATAAATGTAGAAATTAGTTTTTCCCCCATAGGACCCCATAGGTTTTAATAAAATTTTGTCAAATGTTTTATGGTATCTCTATAGGGATATCCCTATATATCCTTCATTGAGTAATTTTCTATCGGTCTCAATAGGGAAAATGTAAAAGTTATGGTGTGCCTATAGGTAATTTCCTATACATTTTCTATCGGGCCGTATCCGGAAAAAACGATGGACAAATGCACATATTGAATCCGGTAGCGCCCGATAGATTATTTTGTATAGGTCTCTATGGGGTATTTTAAGCAGGGTAGGCCATGGCCTAGGGTGCCGCGAAGCCAATAGGCGCCCAGGCAGAAGGCTCAATTTTTTTTAAGTAGGTTGAAAAAGTGTAATACCCGTTTTTATTTTAAACGCACAGATCTTTTTCTAAAAATGTTCAACGCAGTTGCCTAGTACACGAGAAGACTGCGAATCTAGGTCTTCTATCTATAGAAGCAGAAGAAGTCAATAAAATAAATTTTGAAAATATTATTGAGTCCTTTTCCGATTTTAAATGCAGGAAGAAAAATTGTAAATCGTCAATAATAATGCAAAAAGTCCTTTCACTTGAACGCCTGCAGAAGAGAAATAACCCACAAAAATAAAAAAATAGATTTTTTATTTTTGTGGGTTAGTTCCCTTGTGCAGAAAGGCGTCAAAGTGTCCTTTTGCAGTATCAACGACGAAATGTTATAGGTAAAATTCTGTTTTAGGTTATTTAAAAATTGCAAAAATTAAGTTCATGTTCATTGTTTTGTTTTTCTATATAAAAATAAATTATTTTTTTATATATTTTTTTGTAAATTTTTTTATAGAACCCTACTTGTCCCTCTATGTGCACCCCTGTAATTATAGGCACCATTATCCCAGACCGCAAAATCACATTCCCTGCACATGTCAGGAATATTCCCAGGAATATTCCAATCGTCCCAGAATATTCCCAGGAATATTCCTGGCATAATCAAATGTCCGCTTTTTGGTTAACCCAGGCATCATAAAAAGAATATTCCATATATCTGCCTGCAGAAGACTCAAGGATTGTTAGGGGAATATTCCTTGATATAATTTGGGGATTATTCCCAGCCCTTATTGCCTCTTATACCCAGGAACTTAACTTAAGTATAGCCATTATTGAGTTACTGAGTAGATCAGTCCCACTCTAATCAGGGCCGGATTTAGGCATGGGCCACATGGGCCCGGGCCCAGGGCGGCAAATTTTTAGGGGCGGCAAATTTTGAAGGCCAGTTAAAATTTTGCTAAAAAATCAAGAGCGTTTTATGCAGAATTTTTGCTTCGCTTAGATTTATACACTAATTAAAACTATTAAAAGTGGGAAGAGAAGTTTTTTAATACATTAGATAATTTTATATCAGACTACACTATTATTCTGCGTAGTGCGTCACTGCGTAGAAGGGCGGCAGTCGATGTACACGAGGCGAGTGGGGCGCGACTCTAGCTTATTCGCTGAGTCATTCGTTATTCGGGGTAATGATGCGTTGGGCCCATGGGCGGCAAATTCGTAAATCCGGCCCTGACTCTAATCATTGTTTGACTGTGCCATCACAGACGCACATCTCCAACTAATATCGGTATATATCGTTATCAAGCATGCGTAAGCAACGGTGAGAGGTATTGCAACTAAACTAATGAATATTCACTGGGAATATTCTTATAATCTATAGATGATGCTTGGAAGTTTTAGAGGATCATTCTAGGAATATTCCCAATGAATATTCCTAGAATGAAGCGGATTATTCCTAGGCGATAGGGAATATTCCTGGAATATTTTCGAACCTTCATTGCAGTCTGGGATTATTGGCCTAGGGCGTCAAATTGTCTTATTCCGGCCCTGCTATAGGTACCTACTATTTCTCTGCTAAAAGTCTTATTATTAACTCTTCCAGAAGACTCCCAAATCTAGCTATAAAAACTTTTTCAGATACAAATTTCCACAAGGGTAGATACTGACAGTAACTACAGTTAACATGTTATAACATGTTAACTGTAGTTATAACCTCGAGGTAAAGAATGAAAACAATCCCATACAGCACAAGGACCGACGTCCTTGTGCTGTATGGGATACTTTAACTTTGATAAGTAGTTTATGTATTGCAAGATATGTAAATGATGATTAAATTAATCGAATATTATCGACAAATTAATAGCAAAAAAACGAAAATAAGAGGGCACAAAACAATTAAATAGCATTATAATATCAAAAGTTATAAGGGAAATGCAACTAATCCCTATAGGTACTGCTAAGACACACTCTTATGTTCTGTGGGTAAACCCTTTCCAGAACTCATTTTGAGTGCTACAGATTACGTGGTTAAATTAATAGCTTCAGGGTTATTTTTAAAAGTATAGTAGGTACCTATAGTATAGTACTAGAAATTCGATATTGTAATATAGTGAAGGTGTTTAAATCAAATTGAATAGTGATATTTGATTCAAATTTCGAATACAATATTCAAACTATGGTTTGAATTATTTAAATAATTCAAATGGTATGAATTATTTTATTGGTTCAATTAGAAAATTTATATTTTACAATATTAATTGTTCAAATTAATCAAATAAGTTTAACTATTCACATGATTAAATTAAAAAAAAATATTTTTGTCAAATAATTCGCGATTCAAGCACAGTTAGATTTAAACTGTGCTAAATTGATTAATTAAATTTAATCATATTATTATTGCATTGGTTCAAATTATTTAAATGGTTGGAATGGTTATAATAATAATAATAATTTGAACCAATCAAACCATTTAAATAATTAGAATAATATGTAAATATAATATAGTAATTGAGCAGGTCCATTCCTAAACTTGGCTTATCCACTTTTTAATAAAAATGAGTTAGTGGTGTCTGTACATTTAACATGTATTCCTCTATACCCTGAAAAGTTCATAATATTCTAAAACTTACCTTATTCCATTTAAAATTCATTTACAAATTGACTGTTGTTCCAAAACTTGCCTTAATTATTGGTTATATCATGCAGAAATCGGCTTATATGTATATAATTTTAAATTATTTTAAATTGGAGATATACCTTTTTAATCAAGGTATATACATGTTTTACTTATGCCTATAATATATTATATAATATTTTTATATATATATAATTGTAAATAGCTTAATAAATATATTTATTATTTATTTATATACCTATTTCGTTTAAATTATTCTGTTGGACTGATATGCGTTAGTACTAACAGGTAAGGTTTTTTACATTTTGCTCAAAAACACCTAATATGGATAAGCTGAGTCTTAGAATGCACCTCCTCAATTATTACCTACTCAATATTTTTTTAAAAGAGTTTTTTAGTAAATATACTGTGTTAAATTAGGTGATTTCTTTTGATCATTTGTGCATATAACCCTTAGAATATTATTAGATAAGAACCAATATTCTTTCAATATTATTCCAACACAGAATTTTGAACGACTTATCACTCTGTTGACATCAAAATCTATAACTGCCTTTATGGACAATTAACGTTACTTCTGGTTGGTACTATTATTTATTATCTATGATTTCTATTCTTAATAATTTTACAGCAAAAGCAAAACTGTTGATGTTCGAAATTCCACCTCCACCAATGTATTAATGTACTTGTCAAAGTAAAGACATGGTCGTCAGGTCTATTTTATAACAGATTTTACCAAAATAATTTATTACTATATTGGCAGTAAATTATAAAAACCTAAAAAATAACTATTTAATAATGTGATAAAAAAATGCGAATGTTGATACATTATACTTTACTAATCTATTCAAATATTTAAAAAAAAATCTATTTAAATTTTTAAAAGATTTATGCAAACTCATAGTTTTGAATAATATAATGTTTATAAATGTTCAGTACTTTTTAAATAAAAAATCATAGAAAATGAGAAAATATTATGTAACTGTCATCTTTGCAGGTTATGTGATATAGCCATAGAACAAAACAGATAAAGTAGAAATTTACTTTCTCCCTGAGGACATTGACCGACATCTGTGGGCATTAAAAAAACTACTTAATTTGAAATATTTTATATTTTTTATCGTAATTGGACAAATTGGAATTTTAACTTCGTTAAAATATAATACTGAATAGGTTTTTTTTAATAAGTTTAAATAATAAGGATTATATTGTTGAGTTAATCAATGATAATATCATGTAGAATTGTAATTTTAGTTTCCTTTACTTACTTGTACAAATTTCTAGTAGATGGCACTGCTAAAAATCTTTGCTCGCTGGCTGGAGTAAGTGGTGATAGCTTTAACGAAATGGATTTGTTGGCTGCTGATTGTGCACATGCGTCCTAGCTTTTATGCTCAGTAATCGACTCCAAATTGCACATTCCGAGTTCTGAGTTTTTCTTACCACCTTTCGCTAACACTGTTCAGTGGTAAGTCGGTGTACTAGTTTTGTGAGTAATTTTAAATCCTAAGATATTTTATGAAATTAGTGTCATCGGTGCCCATAAATATAATTTTTAATACAGTTTTTTTGTTTTTAAAGTGTTCTGCGGCAAATTTTTGTGCTCCGTAACGTATTTTACGTAATCCAGAGGACTTTGAAATTAGAATATACCGAAAACCTCCGGCCATTAAAGTTATTTGTCGAGCTTATTTAGTCCATTTCCCAATTAGTTTGTCCCATAAATTTGAATTGGCAAAAGTAAAATGCATTACCCAAGCATCTAAACTTTGTGAGACACTTAATTTACCATATTTTCGTATTTTAACTAGTTACGTAACGTCGAACTTTGACTATCTTTCAACTTTTGACAGTTGGAGGAGTTTTTCAAAATATTTAATACTTATATCGTTTTCTTCTTTGCAGGTTGTTAAGTTATTTCAAACGAAGTAAAAAATAAATAAATAAAAATGTTTGCCTGTGCCAGATTGATCGCAAGAAACGCCGTAAGTACCAATAGTGTTGTATAATCTTTTTCGCTTTATAAATAGCCTCTATAAGCGTTAAATACAGCCACACTAAACTTCACTTAACAATAAGTTATGTAATTTTTACAAAACACATCTTCCATTTAACATTGAACCAAGATTTTTATTCCTTATTTTTATGTAACTACGCCCTTATAGAGGTCAAATTAGAACTAAATTGTTATGTGAATTTATTTTTATTCAACAATAACTTTAGTTTTTATACGGTTTTGACAAGAAATAGCTATTATGTAACAGTTTGTTAAAAAAATGTATTGCATAACTTAAAGGTCCTATTTTTTGTGTATTGTCTAAAACAAATGCACAGCTAGAGGCCCTTTTTCATTGACAATTTTTTTTCTTAAATAATATTCTTTTAATTTAAAATGGTATTTTTAATGATTTAACTATTTAAAAAATTAAATTGGATTAATTACATATATGTATTTTATCATTTACACTCTTATCTTTAGATGTTACATAATACCTAACCCTACTTATGATGACAAAATTATAAATTATCATATTCTTTTGATGAATTAACTTCCTTGGATGTCTGAGTTTAAATAAATAATAAAGTTAAATAGAATTTGTTATATTTTCAGGAATATTAATAAATATTTATTTTAGCTTGTGGCCAACTCCAAACAATACTTAAGACCACTCAGCAGTGTAGTGTCTAGCAGCCAGCCCCTTGTACAGACTGTACAACAGAAACCAACTCTCCTTCCTGCCATTCGTAGTTTCCAAACTTCTCCAGTATCCCGTGATATTGACTCTGCTGCAAAATTCATTGGTGCCGGAGCTGCCACAGTTGGAGTAGCTGGTTCAGGTTAGTGCCACTAACATTTCTCAGCTTGGGTTTTTGCTTTTTTGTTTGTTTTCTGTGGTTTTCATGATGATAGCATTCATAAGTCTTAATTCCATGATGAATTAACTTCCTTGGATGTCTGACGAACTACAGAAATTCAATATTACAGATTTCGTTGGGCTAACCAAAATGTTTTGTATTTTTTATTAATTGGGGACAATTATTACAGGTATTGGTATAGGGATGGTGTTTGGCTGTTTAATTATTGGATATGCTAGAAACCCATCATTGAAACAGCAGCTGTTTTCATATGCTATTTTGGGTTTTGCCCTATCAGAAGCAATGGGCCTCTTTTGTCTTATGATTGCATTTTTAATGCTATTTGCACTTTAAACTTATGTTAAATTAACATGTTCCTGCAAGTCAAGTTTAACAAATGTACTTACTACATATTTTATGGATAAGCCTGTGTTATTAACCTAAGTTTTATATTAAAATAATCACAAACAAAATCCATTTTTATCATTTGTTTTATGTATCATTTATCATTGGAAGTTGCATGGTATGTTTTATTTTATTAATTTTTGTTTTATTTCGTAAAAACTGTTTATTTTTTTCTCTATCACTACAAATAATAGTATATTATACCTGGTAATTCAAAAAATCTACTATTTTTTTTTTACTTATATAAAATTTGTTGCTGGGCACCGCAATATATGAGCTCTTACTATTGTAGTAAGAACCTCATTGCAATTTTATATTTTCACATTAAGTACAGTCAATCTGTGTTTTGACATCGAGAAAATTCCGAACTGACTGGATTTTGGATATGTTATGCCTGAAGTTCTAAAGGGTAAAATGTCGAATTTCCGTAATCACCTCTCCGGGGCTAGCAAAAAAGGTTTTGAATCGTTTTATCTTGTTTCCTATTGGTTGGACAAAACATTATTATTTAAAGGCAAAACTTTCTGTACTTGGATCCTAAGATAAAGGGCGCCAAATTTACCAACAAATATTAAAAGGAATATTTTAGAAACTACACAAAGTTTTGCCTATATAAATATGTTGTAAATTTCAAGCCATACATTTTTTGACACTTTTTTATCCAACCAATAGGAAACAAGATCAAACAATTGAAAACTTTTCAAAAAGTAGAGAAAGCATCTGAGGGGTATAACGGGAATTTTACATTTTACCCTTTAGACCTCCAGGAACAACATATCCAAAATCCACTCGGTTCATAATTTTTTTTCGACAGATACTTAGTCTATGGACAAAATTTTAAATCTCACTAACAAGTGAATTTATATTTTAAGCCTAATAGACATTTTGATGGGGATTTGAATGCTTTACAAAAAGAGTATCCTATGTTTTTTTTTAATCCTAGCCATTCAAAAGATATCTTCAGTCAAAGTTTATAAAGTTTTAAAGACATTTTTTTTTAATTTTATAACTTGCAGAATAAAGGTTTTTAAATGAGTAGTACATATTTTTGTTGGTAATGCTACAAAAAAGTTTTGTTTAATATAAGTATGTATATCCCGCCGAATGGTCTAGTGTAAATAAACTGCGCACCACTCAATGTGTCGCGACCAAAAAGTTCGTTCTTTGGATGAAGTTATTGAAAATTTTCACCGTTTAACATATCACATTGTACGAAATTTACTTAAAGAACCGTGAGCTTCATACTATAGCATGAATAGCCAGAGGATGGAGCTAGCAGAAATCACAGACCAAATTAAAATCGTTCAAGAAACAAAAAAGTTATGTCGTTTTGAAAAAGAACGAACTTTTTGGTCGCGACACATTGAGTGATGCGCAGTTTAGTTAAAAGTTGTTTTATTTACGAAAATTAATATTTTTCACGGTACTTAAGTTTAACTTTGGTTACATGTATAAAAAAACTAAAAAAACCTTTTTTGTACATCATTTAATTTTAAACAAATGTGTAGTACTCATTTCAAAACTCTGTAAGGTATAAAATTTAAACAAAATGTTCTTTTAAAACTTTATAAACTTTGACCTAATATATCTTTTCAATGGATAGGTTTACAAACAAAACCTAGCATACCTTTTTTGTAGAGCACTCAATTCCCCATTAAAATGTTTATTGGGCTTAAAATATAAATTCATTTGTTATTGAGATAACATTTTTTTCATTGACTAATGTGAAAATGGAAATAAAAGTATCTTACTATTTATATTAAGAGCTTATAGATTGAGGTGCCTGGCAACAAAATTTTCGATATCAGAAGTTAAAAAAAAGAATAGGATATATTTTGAATTAATTTAATATTAATTTTAAGTTGGTTAATTAAACAATTTTAAAATTGTATCAAAAAATGTATTGTGAGTTTTAAATAAGCAGTTTTGTGTATAAAAAATATATTTATATATTTAAATGTATTCTGTGTGTTTTTAGGAGCTGGTATTGGAACAGTATTCGGTTCCTTGATCATTGGTTATGCCAGAAACCCAAGCCTAAAACAACAATTGTTCTCCTACGCCATTTTGGGTTTTGCCTTGTCTGAAGCCATGGGTCTCTTCTGTCTTATGATGGCGTTCTTGTTATTGTTCGCCTTCTAAGCTATTGGCACTGCCAGCGTTTCATTTTTACCACCAATTCCACATAAAAATTTAACTTAACATGTTACGTCAACATCGTGTAACTAAACTTCATCAAGTTTACATTCAAGTTCAGCAATAGGACATTTATTTTTTATTAATTTTAGCAAAACTCTAGTGAATATATGGCGATTACAATTATTTAATTATTTGGAACATTCAGAGACTTTGGGCTTGTCAAGTTAAGAAAAACTTACTTATACATTGGCATATATTTATTTGAGTTTTTTTTCCATCTGTTATTATAGAAAGGTGACACTATTGCATATTGTACAGTGTTAGAAAAAAGTAAATAAACCACCTTAGTTGTGATTTTTTTCAATTAAGGCTATATTCGTTTTTTTATTATCTTTGTCCTTTCCTTTGCAGTCAACTGTGAATAATTTATAAATTATTTTTAAGGATGATAAATAAATTGTTTCAATTTTATACTGACTTTTAATAATAGTACGCTTAATAGTTTGTAGTTTTAACTAAAATAAAATAATTTACTTTATGAAAGTTTTAATTTACATCCTAGATATTTTAAATTAAACATTTTATTTCTAAAAAATAAATATGTTATGTATATACACTGTGTCTTAAGTTTGCAACATATGGGAAACTTTACTATTATTAATTTTACGTAGAAAAGCTATTCCTAATAAAAAGTTCTTCATGTTCTAAAATAAAATCATCAGATATAATTTTTTCAGTCATACAAGGTTTGACAAAAAATTATGAATTTGGTACAAGAGTAAAGTACCTTGATTTGTGACAATATCGAAAACTGGAATTATAAAAAGTTCGGAACGAAAAACTATGTTATAATATGCAATTACATCCTACTTTTTTACATTTTTTTCTTAAATTACCGATACCGTACATTTATCTTTTTTATTTTTTACTATAGATGGTAGATGCTCGACCGCTTTGCAACGCGCTCATAAATGCTCGAGCATTTATAAACGAAGTAAAAATTTTATAAAAAAAAATTGATAAACCTGCACCACTTTTGGGTTGCCAACTTTTTTAATTCGATAGTCCGTACCGCGTAATTCAAATTACCGTACTATAGCTCGCAGGACCGTACTTACTAAATGGGCGTGCGAATTTTTTGGAATAAAAAGGGGAGTAATATTTTGTGAAAATTATGAATAGAAATAAATATTTAAAAAAAATTGTTTATCTTTATATTTATATTTGACATCAAAAGTTCTTATTAAAAAAAGTTTATCAGAACTAAAAACTACGTTCAAATATGCAATTACTTTCATTTACATGCAAATGTAACAGTAGTTACATGTCATGTAAGGTGTATGTATCTTGTGTTTGTTGCGACGGTTATGATATATTTGCCCGATGCGGCCATTTTTTAATTTAATTACCTAATAGAATTAACTTATTATTTTTATTAAACAACATTTTATGAAAGTGTCCAGTCGACCTTCGCAACGGTGCTTTTTTTAAATATTATTTAGTTGCTGCTGAGGAACAGCAAAATGTATAATGGGTTGTATGGGTATGTATAAAACAGTAGAGGTTTGAAAATTTTCAAGAGCTGCGATCTTATGCGACTGCTCCCTCCGGTCGGAACAGCAGCGATTTTTCGGAGCAATGCAATTCGCGACGCTCCGGAGCTGTTTTGTCTAACTGAGCAGTGCCACACTAAAAGCAAAGCAGTGCTTTCAAAGTATTGCTTTAAAAGCACTGGTGAAAGTGCGAACGGCAAAGCAGCCCAACCCTGCAAAGCCTGTTTTATAGATTGTCTTTCTTCCTTCCTCCCGTAAAAGATTAACAATACGAAAACCGTAGTGCCGTTTCTAGATTCCCGTACGGGATTGTATTGTTCATCTACAGGAGGAAGGAAGGAAGGCAATCTATAAATCAGGCTTAACTCATGGCGCTGCTTCTCGAAAGAAATTTAAAGATTCACCATCGTATTAACACGAATTAAATTAATCCGATGGTGTCAGATAGATATTTAATAACTAAAAATAATGATATTTTGCTCACGCAGCAACAGCCGCGGCGGCATGGTATATTTAAAATTTCGGAACAATTTAAATTTTAAATTGCTCCGAAATGTCGCTGTGATTTTTACCACCGGAGCAGTGACAAAGAAGCATGCCATTATTATCTTTGGCATCACCCTCTAAAGCCTGATATCCCGTAAAATATAAACAATACGAAAATCCTGTTGCCGTTTATAGTCTTTAGTTAATCTTTTACGGAAGGAAAGAAGGAAGGCAATCTATAAATCAGACTTAAAACATAGTAGTTCATGAACATGCATGTTCAACGAAAGGGAATAGGCCTCTTAGAGCATTAGGAATACAGAAATTTGCCAATGTAGAGAGAATTGATTGATTGATAGATGTCTGTCTTACAATTGGCAACACCGTAACGGAGAACAGAACTGTTCTAGAACCAGTATTGCCAATAGGAAGAGAATTATTTGTTTTTTTGGAAAATTTTAACATGCGGAGAATTTTTATTGATAATATTTTTTACCTCTGCCTTCTAACTTAATATAGTGGCGTTGAGTGAAGAGTAAGTTAAGAATATATACATGATGCGGAGAATTTGACAGATTCGGAGAATTTTATTGTTGAAGGGGAAGAAAATATCAATACTGTTGGCAACACTGCCTGCTATTGTCAATCAACTGATTAAATAAATAAGCCAAAACACCAAAGAACATAATTGCAAAACAAAATAAACTGTATATATTCGTGAATTTTGTTATGATTTAATTTCATTTTACGCTATAAAAATATGGGGTGCTGTTACAGTTTCTTTTGCAACGATGATAGTTCTTCGCAGGTATAATGTTTCTTTGTATTTTTAAATATTGTAAAAAATTAAGTAACCCCTTTATTTAAGGCTGGCGAGCCTACAGAAAGGACTCACTTACTTGTTAATCCAGTTTCCATCAACACAACAGTTGTACATGCAAATAGGTAAATTTACATTTATATAATAATAAATAGATAATGCTAAAATAGCATATTTAAAATTGTGATTTTAGCGAGGATTATATATTTAGAAATGCTAATACCTTGCCAAAGAAGACTGATGAGCAATCAGCTTTAAATAGGATATTACAAGAAACAGCCACGTAAGAATAAAAAATTTTTTTTTACAAATTATAATTGGAAATGTTTTTGAACATAGGAATGTAATTGATGTGGCAGCCTTGGATTCACACAATTTACAACATCATGAGTATTTAGAAAGAATGAAACACTATAATGTCAAAGTGCAGCAAGTTATGGGAAATAATCGAAATGCTTTATCTTACAAAGTTAAACTTAGTTTGTTGCAAGATATCCCCATGCCAGAAAAAGTTATGATGTCTGAACCAATTAACCCAGAGGATATAAAATTGGTATACAAATACCTACATTTATTGTTAATAGCATATGCAGCACTAAATGTTTTGTTTTAGATTAATTCATTTTTGAGTTCTGCTGTAGCATCAATACAAGATATAAAAGTGGAGCATAAAGAGAATCTTGTGGAACCTTTTGGTATAAATTGTTAAGAAAATGACAGTAATAGTCAGAAAAATAATATATAATAAAAGTGATGTGACAAAAATATAATTTGACAAAACCCACAAGCAAAACCATAAAAAACTATATACTGATTGTCATAAATGATATTTACTCTACTACTAATTTGATGCAATTAGCACAAATATCAAAAATATTTTAGTAAGGTGAATAAGTGCTAAGCTATTTTGTACAATAAGTTTTACTTTTAAGATAAATGATTTTTCCAAAAATTTTGTTTATAAATATTTGTAAATTTTAGGATAAGTGTAAAATATATGAATTTATTATATAAAGGTTTTATAAAAACGCTTTTTGTGATTTTTTAACAATTTATTACTACAGCCCATATAAAACAATTAAAAAGAGATCTACCAAAAAGCGGACATAAAAATCATAATTTTAAGAATTTTCTACACCTTTCATTAAACACTTTAAATGTTCTTTCTTTTATTAATTCTTCAACACTTAATTCCACTCTCAGCATTCGTAACTAAAATGAAAATTTAGGCTTTTATTTTTCACGTATTAAATGAATTTATTACCTTGGTTTGTTCTTGTTTTAAATGTTTTGTTAATTGAATATCATCATTACCAGCCTCTTTTACTTCCTTAAGTTTTTTAACCTGCTCAGTAGTAACTGAAATACAGTTTTTAATTAAATTATCCCTTATTTTGTATCCCTCTTCCAATCTATCATAAAGTCCTTTGCACGCAGTTACTTCGTCCTTTCTAAATGAATCGGTTGGCACGACAGAATTTATGGTATTTACAATGATATCATCAGGTTTTCTTAAATCCTTTAAAGCTTGCTTAAAATACAATTTTAGTTCAAGAAAAGTTGGGTTATGAATGATAAATACCTGAAAATCACTTATATCTGGACATTCCATTATCGCTACCGGCATTATTAATAAAATGTGAAATTAATTTATTTGCTTTGCTATTTTTAAACGAAAATTTGATACAATTTACACTTTAACATGCCGCTTGTAAATATATTTAGAAAACAGATGGCGGCACTATTAAATTATCTAATTTACTTATCTATTTTTAATTAAAAAAATTATCATCTTATCAAGAATAACTTAATAAGTTAAACTTATGTTCTGTTTATTATCAGGTGTACAAAGTGTTCTTTGGGTGCATATATTTAGAGTTCTCTGGTCCTTTTTCTATGGTTTTGATCGTACGTACACTGAGAAAAAAATGGGACAAATAAACTGTGTAGCTAATACTTTTATTAATAGTGAATAGGTATATTGTTTATTACTTCTAAATAGTCGAAATAATAACGATAAATATACTTTAGTAAAACTTAAGTTTTACTAAAGTATATTTATCGTTATTATTTATTCCACACATAAATTTATGTGTCGGGAATAAAAATATATTTAGGATAAATAAACTGTACAGTTGTATTCAATAAAAAAGCGTACAAGAATTAGAATGAGAGAAAACTGTCAAAATAATATTATTGCTTAAAATCGGCTTATCACTGACATAAGTCATTAAAATTATTATTATAGGTTATAAAGAGCATTGACATCGTAGGTTAATTAAATAATGTTACAAAAATTATTACCTTTTAATAATGAAAAAACAAACATGATAAATAATAATAAAATGTAATATTTTTGTCATGCATCCCTGTTTTTCTATTACTTGAGCCAATCTATTTGGGATGAACTGAATTAAATTTAATACAATATTTGGATTAATATCTTCCCAGCAGTATAGTAGGTATAGTATAGTTGTATAGTTTTCCATAAATCCTCAGATATCTCAAAAAAGCAGCATCCTGTTCAGGGGTGGACATTTTGGGACGACCTGAACCAACTTTTTGGTTTAGTAAATCTTCCTGTTCCCAGCGTTGCTTAATTTTTAATATAGATTTTTTATTTCTATTATACCACAGTACGAATTGACCATTCTTCTTCGATTCTTGATACTATTTGAGCCTTTTTAACTGACGAGGCATTTTTATTTTCTACTGTCAGTTATAGTGACTTAAGTCAGTGGAAAGCCGGTTTTACGCAATAATGTTGACAGTTTTCTCTCATTCTAATTCTTGTACGCTTTTTTAATGAATACAACTGTACCTACCCTTGTCCAATATTTAAATATTTTTTTTATTTGGGAGCAATAAACTTTTTTCTCAGTGTACGGTAAAGGGTATAACCCTGTTGTAAATGACCGATTAAATGACCAATTAAAGTATTGCAATACCAACCAATTGGTTGGTATTAGGTAATGGGTTTGAATTGGACTTACTGGATTTAATTGGGCGCGATATGAAACAGAAATTGGTTTTTACTGGTATTTTCCATGATGGAAAAGTTTAATTAGGATTCTAATGTTTTTAATTGGTTTCGATTGGATAAAGCTACCCATGGGTAATTTCCCATTAAATTCAATTGGGCATTCCTAGTGTAAGATTCGAAAAATCTGCTAATCGGTTATTCCCAATAAAATACAAATATCGCAAGAGAACTCTCGTGTAGCTACACTGAGAAAAAAGTTTATTGCTCCCAAATAAAAAAAATATTTAAATATGGGACAAGGGTACAGTTTATTTATCCCAAATATATTTTTATTCCCGACACATAAAGTTTTACTAAAGTATATTTATCGTTATTATTTCGACTATTTAGAGGTAATAAACAATATATTCACTATTAATAAAAGTATTAGCTACACAGTTTATTTGTCCCATTTTTTTCTCAGTGTAGTGTACTTATAATGTATATCTTAAAAAAATGTTTATACAGGGTGTTTCTTTTAACTTGAGACAGCTCAATATCTCGAGAAATACGCATTTCACGGAAAAATGTCTTAAATAAAAGGTTAATGTGACTAAAGGGGACATTATTGGGTGTAACCGCTAGCCACCCCCTACCCCTCCTTAAGGGTGAAACGGGGGGTAACTTTGGAAAGTCAAATGGAATGACCCGATTTTTTTCACAGAGTTTGGTAGTACATAAAAAAATAAATAACTTTTATTTAAAACTTTTTTCAATTTATCAACAGATGGCGCTGTAATTCAAAATTTAAGAAAAATGAGTTTCCTTGTAAAATGTATTATTTGAAACGTTTGAAAAACAAAAATTAACATTAACAACAATAGTCGGCTATGAAAACAATTTATAACAAATGTTCGAAATGTCGTCATTCCATTTCAACACATTTTTGAATGCGGGTAATGAATTCTGGCACACAACGCGCCAACATGTCGGGCGGTATCGCCGCACAGGCGTCCTTGATCCGCTCCACCATGTCCTCCCAAGTTGTAGGAATTGCAGCGTAAACTTTTTCTTTCAAGTAACCCCACTGGAAGAAGTCTGGTGGCGTAAGATCAGGTGATCGAGCAGGCCAAATTACTGGACCACGTTTACCGATCTACCGCGGTGCACCGGCCATTGAACTCCCGATCCAACACCTAGGTGCTCTCGAGCAATTGCCGAATAATGTGCAGGACAACCATCTTGCTGGTACCACATGTTTTGGAGCCGTGCTAGTGGTACATCCTCCAAAAGGTCCGTCAGATCGTTTTCTAGAAAATTCCGGTACTTTTCGCCATTTAATGCACCGTCAATAAAGAAGGGTCCGATTAATCGTTCGCTTAATGTACCGCACCAAAAGTTTACCGACCAGGGACGCTGGTGCTCCACTTGGTGTCGAAATGGAAGGACGACATTTCGAACATTTGTTATAAATTGTTTTCAGAGCCGACTATTGTTGATTTAATGTTAATTTTTGTTTTTCAAACGTTTCAAATAATACATTTTACGAGGAAACCCCTTTTTCTTAAATTTTGAATCACAGCGCCATCTGTTGATAAATTGAAAAAAACTTTCAAATAAAAGTTATTCATTTTTTTATGTACTACCAAACTGTGAAAAAAATTGGGTCATTCCATTTGACTTTCCAAAGTTACCCCCCGTTTCACCCTTAAGGAGGGGTAGGGGGGTGGCTAGCGGTAGCACCAAATAATGTCCCCTTTGGTCACATTAACCTTTTATTTAAGACATTTTTTCGTGAAATGCGTATTTCTCGAGATATTGAGCTGTCTCAAGTTAAAAGAAACACCCTGTATGTGTAAGGTTTAGGGACGATGGCGTGAGAATGGTGGTTACAGCGGACAAATAAAAAAAAATTGACATAAATAATATTGATTTTGACCATGCCTACAAACATCCTTTGCAAGAAATTTCTTAAGACAAAAAAATGATTACTGATAACCCTATTGAAAATGCCATATAGAACCATATAAAAAACACGTATCTGGATTCTATATGGTTTCTATCTGGTTCAATATAGGTATTTGAAACAGACATTTCACTATAGAACCAGATAGAAGATTACATTATAGAACCATATAAAAACACTCTAAAACACTATAGAACCAGATAGGGAAACCTATCTGGAAATACATATAGAACAGAAACCAGATAAATCCATATACATCCATATACATGTCTTTATAAAGACATGTATATGGTTGTATATGGATTTATCTGGTTTCTGTTCTATATGTATTTCCAGATAGGTTTCCCTATATGGTTAAATATGAAAATTTTTAAAATGGAAATCCATATTCAACCATATAGAATCCGTAATGTAAACCAGGACTTTCCATATAGGACCTATAAAACCATATAGAACCAGATACGTTTCCTTATCGGATTCAATATGGGTTCTATATGGCATTTTCAATAGGGAACGCAGTAATTTTATTTATATTTTAATTATTACTTTTTTTGTGTTAGGACCTATAACTTAAGTTATAGGTTATATGTAGGTATCAGTACATATCTCACTAACATACAAAAATAATAAAGAAATAAAGTTACCTACCCGGACAACAATCGGGATTTCCTGGTACACATGCTCCATCACAGTGATATCATGTAGAACTCACGTTGTGCAAAATTTGCGCATGCGTATGAGCCCTGCGAACTGCGAATTTAAAACCTACCCGGACAACATTCGTGATATTCATACGCACATATGTCGTGATTTTCACAAATTTTATTCATACTGATATCATACGGAAGTCACCGCGTAATAAATGAAAATCATGCGAACGTCACGTCGTGATTTTCACAAATTTTGTTCATACGGACATCATCCGGATGTCACTGCGTGAGAAATGAAAATCACGTCGTGATTTTTTATGCCATCGCTGTTTACGATTGACCGATGGCACAAAAAATCATGTCGTGATTTTTTTTGCTAACGGTGTTTGGATAATCATTTTGCGCCACATTCGTACATTGAGAGAAAAAGTATACCTACATATATATTGAATCAACAGTTTTTGTTGTTAAATACATTCAATATTTTCTTGGATTTAAATTAACTATATACATATAGTTAATTTAAATCCAAGAAAATATTAAATGTATTTAACCGCAAAAACTGTTGATTCAACATAATTTTTCTCTTAAGGTACGGATTCGTTGATGCGAGTCGCGGCTGCGGCTTGCGGCTGCGACCTTAGCCGCGCCACTGCTTATTACAACCAAAACATATACAAACAAATTGTACTAAGCAGTGGAGCGGCTACGATCGCAGCCGCGAGTCGCATCAACGAAACTGTACCTTTAGTGTACGAACGTGGCGCAAAAATGATTATCCAAACACCGTTGGCATAAAAAATCACGACATGATTTTTTATGCCATCGGTGCACCGACATGTTTGGATATTTATTTTTGCGCCACATTCGTACATTGAAAGAAAAAGTATGTTAACAATTGAATGGTAAAATACTACCTACTTAATTAGGTACTTATATACCCTGCTTAAAATACCCCATAGAGACCCTGTTCAAACCGATAGATATTTCTATCGGAAAGTATGGTGTTTCTATAGGGTGTATCGGTATGTATAGGACCCATAGTTGGGATTTATGGTTGTTCTATAGGGATATCCACCCTTGATTTATTTGCTATTGGTTTCAATGGGGAAAATACACATAAATGTAGAAATTAGTTTTTCCCCCATAGAACCCTATATA